TACTTAAAATATGAATACATAGCAATTGCATACAGCATATACATGTCCTCCTGTGTACTTGAAATACTCTCAAGATTACTTATAATGTCTGATACAATGTAAATACTACTAAATAGTTCTTATACTCTTATAGTTTCAGGAATAATGACCAAAAATAGTATGTACATGTTCAATATAGACACCATTTCTTGCCCAAATATTTTCAATCTGTGTTTAGTTGAATTCATGGATGTGAAGCCCACAGCCACATGGACGGTTCAGTGTATTCTCTTTATTAAAAATAAATCAAAGGACATAGAGCAAGTAAAAGGCTTTCTTGACCAAACTGTCTTTCATTTCAACCCCAGTTCTTTGGGAGTCTCCATGGCTGTCAGTTTGACATGTCTTAGTTTCTTTTCTGTATTAACATATGCATGCAGCTATATGCTCACACCTGTATTGGGGTTTTTTTGGAGTGTTTACCTAATGACATCATGCTGTGTACACCTTACTCTTTTTGTTGCCTTGAGATCCTTCAAAACCTACTAATTTTCTAATGCATGATTTTTTTAAGGGCTGCAAAATACTCCACTGTCGAGATATACCCCGATTTATTTTCCCTGATGGGAATGACACTGCAGTGAACATCACATCCTGCTTGTTTCATTTTGAGCGTCTGTTCACGTGTGTAGTCCACGATACAGTGATTGCATTCTTGCACTTATTGGGTTATAAGTATTTAAAAATTCAAAGATGTTCTAGTTACAGAAGGCTTATAGTGTTATTATTATTCCTATGAACAGTATCTGTGGGAACTCTGCTAATATTACCAGTTTTTTGAGTCTTGACAATTTGATGGGTGAAAATTGGTGTCCCATTCTTCATTCCTTTCACAGGCACTTCCCTGGTTAAGAACGAGGTTGAGCACCTTTTAATGTTTCCTGGCTTTTCATAGTTTTCCTTTGTGCATCATATATCTACACGGATTTTTAACTTTACATTTAGCACTTTGCTTCCTCTGGAATTTCATGTTGGAGCTTGAGATCTAACTTTATATTCTACCAATTGGATAGCTGACACCACTTATTATCTGTGGTGTTTTTCTTTATCGATTCATAGGCTGTCTTCATTATGTACTAAATTTCTATGTATCTCTTCAAAGTCTTGATTCTGTCTCACTTTTATGTTTTTCGCAGTTAATACCGCATTGTTCAAATTGCTGAAACTTTATAATATAAGCTCTGTATATCTACAAATAAAATATTTTGATTCCCCTAATAATTATATATTATAGCGATATTAGCATATGATATGACACAACATAGATATAGGTTTGCTATCTGGTAGGTGATGTGCTGCCTTATCAGTTTTGCTTGTTTTTCTTTCATTTGGTTTTTATTGTTGCTGTTGGGTTTTTCTTTGCTGTTATTGTGTTTGGTTCAAAATTCTTGGCTATCATTGCTCATTTTCTTTTAGAGGAATTTCTGAACGACTTTTTCAAGTTCCAATTGGGGTATTAATTAGAATAAGATTAAATTTGTACATTTTTTGATGAAATTGGCATCTTTACAATTTTGTTTCTATCCAGGAGCATAGTATGCTTCTCCTCCTTTCGCATTTTTTCTATGATCTTTAATAAAAATTGTCTACCTAGTTTTTGGGGTTTTTTTTTTTGCAGTAGTAGGGTTTGAACTCAGGGTATTGAGCTTGCTGCTGATTCAACCATACCCTCGCTCTTTTTGGCACTGGATATTTTTGAGATAGAGTCTCGTGTTTATTGCCTGGGCCAACGTGGATCACGATCTTCCTGTTTGTGCTTTGCTTGGGATGCAGTCTCACAAACTTTTTGCCCAGGCTGACCTCAAACCATAATCTTCCTGATCTCTGCCTCCTGAGTAGCTAGGAATGCAGGCTTGCGCCATTGGTGTTGCTTTCCCTCCCATAGAACCAGATATTTTAAATTAAAGGTATGTTGTCATATTATTTCCATTTGTATTAAGTCAGTTAATTTGGGGGTGATTTCCTTATTCTTTTTCTAGCTTTTTGTGTTGAAAATTCAGTTTATTCTTCCTCTGTCATTCTGTGGTCCGTGTGTATAAGGGCACATATCCTCCTCTGAGAACCGCGTTGGCCACAGCCAACGTAGAGTACTCTCAGTATCACTCCTTTCTAAAGGACTTTGTATTTTCATCTTGATTTCTTTTTCCAAAGGATTATCTGGAACACTTTGAATTTCCAAATTTATTTTGGCTATTTAAATTTTTTGGTGGTATTGGGGTTTGAACTGAGAGCCTCACACTTGCTGGGCAAGTGCTCTATCACTCAAGCTAGTGGTTGCCAGCCCTCTTTGCTTTCAGTTTTTGTTTTTAGATAGGGTCTCTGCCTGGGCTGGCCTCGGACTGCAATCCTCTTGTCTCTGCCCCCCCAGAAGCTGGGCTTACAGGTGTGAACCACCATGCCCAGGTAGTTTGTTTTTAGTCTCTAATATCTGATTGCTTTTAATTTTGCATTGTGTCTGTATCATTTCTGCTTTCTTTGAGACCTGAGATGTTTTGTTGCCTAATAACACAGTCAGTTTGTAAGACTGTCCCATATGGGTTTGTCATTTGGCCCCAAATTTTCTATATGGGTTGAATTTGCTAACCCTGTTGTATGAATAATATAGATCCTTAGTTTTGATTTCTGGTTTACCTGTTCTGAAGTATGACGCTAAAGTCTTCCACTTCAATTGTGGCTCTACCAATTTCTTCTCATACTTTGATTTTGTTTTGCTTTATGCTTTTTTTCTGGGACTGTGGTTATATGCAGAGAGCTTTATGACAGTTGTTTATACAGTCTTTGAGTAAACTGAATCTTTCCTCTACAAAAGAGTTCCTTTTGGCTCCTTTTGTTTTTTCATTTTAAATTCTGTTTTTATTAGATGCTATTATTACCTTACCTGCTTTCTTTTTGTCAATATTTGCCTGAGGCTTCTGTTTGAAATGGTTTCATTTTCGACTGCTATTTATTTAGGTATAGCTCTTTTGTCAGAATATAGCTAGAATAATTTAATGCAAGGTAATAGTCCATATGTTATAGTGGGTAACTTGAGCCCATTTCACATATAATATAATTGATGACATAACTGAACTTACTATTTTAACTTTAATTCATATATTTTACTTTTTGTGTTTCTGTTTGAAAATCACCTTCTTCATCTTTGTATCCCCAGAGCCCACCAGAGGACTTGGCTTAAGACAGTAGGCATTCAACAAATGTTCATTGAATAAAAACTTCCTTGATCCCCAATTCTGGTCTGATTTAAGAAATGACTTGGGGAAAGCTCTCTCAGTTGTAGTGGCATGAGTCTAGTTGTCTTGGTGAAAGAAATTTCAAGAAGAATTTAGGTTAGCGATAAGGTACTTTTCCTATTTGAATAAATTTAACATTCAAAGATCTTAAGCTTTCTCTGTATGTTAGATCCAGCAAGTAGTTTATGACATAATGATAGTGGAGACAGTGATGAAGACGAATGTCTTAGAATAGGAGAGACATCCAGGATCTTGTCTGCACCAGCTTTGCCTTGTGACAGTGCACACTGAAGGACACACCCAGCCTGAATGAATCACTCTATTGTAATTTCAGATCGGAGCTCAGATTTCTTTGTGTTTTCAGCTGTATCTGCCAGAGAGCTAGATAATATTTTTTAAATTATATCATGGCAACATTAGCTTAACTGCAGAGGGTGCCTCTAGAGGAACCCAATGCTGGGTAAAGAGAAACATTTAATGCCACCCATTGATGTCATTTCCTTCTGTAATTGTCACATGTTGTGATAGTGGAAAGAGCACTAGACCACGCCTCCCAGATCTGGCTCATCAGAATGTGTCTGGAAATTTCTCTTCAGTACAAAGGAGCTGGATTGTTGATCTCTCAGGTTTCTTCCAACTCCGAAATGCTTCCAGTTTTGAGTGTGGAAAAAAATCTTAGGTGAAACTCTAATCACCATTAACCTAAAATCCTGAAAATTCCACCCTGAGCCACTTGCAACCCCAAACAGGTTTATCTTAATTAATTATTAATTGCAAGTTGAGTGTCCCTTGTCAGAAATGCTTGAGGCCAGAAACATTTCAGATTTAGGATTTTCTTTTTCAGATTTTGGAGCATTTGCCTATGCATAATGAAATATCTTGGGGATGAGACCCAAGTTGAAGTCATTTATAGTTTATATATACCTTATACATATGACCTGAGGGTAATTTTATAAAATGCATGAAGCAATTTTCTGTGGTGGGAAGCTTTCTATTGCATCATATTCTTTCAAAAATTTCAGATTTTGAGCATTTTGCACATTGGACTTTAGGGTTAGGGATGCTTAGCGTCTATAAACCATCCAGATTTTTAATGTTGTGCTAAGCATTGATACGATCATTTTTTGTTTGTTTGTTTCTTTTTTGAGACAAGTCTCAGTATGTAGCACAGGCTGGCCTTGAACTTGTGATCCTCCTCCTCCTGCTTCTGCCTCCCAGTGCTGAGATTATAAGTGTGAACCACCTCCCAGCTGATTTGTGCATTTGAAGGCTTGCACACCAGCCAGTTACTGAGCTGAAAAGATACAATCCCTTCTCCTCTAGTTGTTCGTCCTCAGCAAGAGTGGGGTCTGCCAGTGCCTGCCCAGGGTGTCAAGGCCAAGTACAGCCCAGTTAGGTGGACACCCTGGGAACACCCTGTTGTGCTGAACTCAGGCTGTTACCTTCTCTCCCACTTCTCCTGAAATTTTAGTTCTCAGCAAATGGGAACACTCTTCCTGGCCTGAATTTCAGTTGGAAGCTTGGAGATTTGATGGAAGGTTGGGGATTCAACCAAGTTGAGGGTGTATAAGCCATGATCTTAACTGAGCTCAAACTGCTTTGTGCTGAGGCTAAAGGTCTGATTAAGATTGACCAAAAATCCAAGCAAATGGATTTCCTTCTTCATATAAAGCACACCTTTTGTCCTCAGCCTTTTCTTTCTACAAACTAACTAAGTGTCTTTACCCTCAGAATGGCTGCAGTCTGTCCAGGCCACCATGATCCTGTCTGTCATCTTCAGTGTCGTGTCCCTGTTCGCATTCTTCTGCCAGCTCTTCACCCTCACCAAGGGAGGCCGGTTTTACATCACTGGATTCTTCCAAATTCTTGCTGGTAAGTTATGGATGCTGAAGTCCACATGGAGGGTTGGATGTATCACAGGACATGGCCTAGAATGATGGGTCTTTGTGAGTCTTACCACTGGATACTTTTCATAAAGTACAGGCTCTCTGTGTGTGTGTGTCTGTGTCTGTGTGTGTCTGTGTACACTCACGTATATCTTTGAACTTGAAAGCTACCCTCTTGTCAATGGAATGAGGTATGAATGAAAGAGTCTTGGGGCACTGGAAGGAAGGTCCTCAACAGGCCAGTCCACCTGGAATGAAGCTCCAGTCTGGAGACATCACCCGTGGTAAATACTAAAGATATCTGTGGGCCCAGGCCGATATTGAGGGCTGTTTCCTATAGATTAGTTATGCCCCACAAAACCATCTGTGTTTTCTGGAAGAAATGGCCCCTATCTGCTGAGTGTTGGCAGGCTTTTCCTGGGGTATGTAACTTCTCCCATTAGGTAGTGACAAACTCACATGGATAAATTCTCACCCTCCTTTCTCCAGTCCTTAGAGTCCACTGGGCTTTGATGTACTGTCGTATCTTCTGGTGTCTTCATTTTGGTCCCTTTGTGTAACATGCTGTTATTTCCAAATATGTAACCAGGACAATACATGCAAACACACAAGAGGCCTCCTTCATCTCTTCTCTATACTGTCTTCACTAGGTCATTCACAGACAGCGTGGGAAGCCCTAGAAGCTTCTGTTACAGACGGAGGCATCTTCCAACCTTTGTCTCTAGATTCTGACAGCATCTTGATGCCTTGACTCTTACCTTCCATTGGTGGCGTCCGTAGGGATTGGAGAGAAGAAAGAGACAGAGTAGTGGATTCTGTAGTACAAGTTCACAGATCATAGACTCCATATGTACCAGAATATATCTGGGTACTGTGCCATGTTCCTGGTACCAGCTCTGTATAGCTAAAGGGTGTTTAGTCCTGTTAGCTGTCCTGTTAGTTGTCAGAAGGCCCATGGTGCTGTACCACTGCTCTGTGCTCAGGAGGTAAGCAAGTGCTCTACTACTTGAGTTATGCCCCCAGTGCCTTTGTTTTTAGTTTGTTTTTCATATAGGTTCTCTCACTTTTGCTCAGGCTGGCTTCAGACCATGATCTTCCTATCTCTGCCTTCTGAGTAGCTGGGATTGTAGGCAAAAACTACCACACCCAGCTTATTTAAAATGTCTTTTAAAACAATATCGTTTTAGGTGAAAATAAAAAAAGTGCATATATAAGAACTGTTTGTTCACACATGTAACTATATTGTGTGTTAAAGAATTTTGATTCAGCAAGACACACTCTTAAGTATGGAGATTTTCTGAACATTCAAAGTCTGTTTACTAATTCAGATTTGTTTCACCATTTGAGTCTCCTCTGAACTCAAGGCAAACATTTTAGAACTCTGCCATAAATACTTCTGAATTTAAAAGCACGTGGTTCATTTCTCCTTTACCCCCTTCAAATCTAGCTGCTTATCGCTCACGAGACCTCATTTTCAGTTACCAGTTTGTCAGTTGAGCAGTCCATATTTAAACAGGAAGTTATTGAGATCCAGAAATGTTGATGTAAAATAGCAGTTGTAACTTCTACTGCTAAGAATATTCCGTGTTTAGCTGTTGACCCCAGGCAGAACGATTGAAGAGTGGTCTCCTGGGAACCTGATTTCTACAGTTTCATTTGAAGTTGCTGTTGGGTCTTCCTACTAAAATCGAGAAGTAAGAATTAGGGACTTGACTTAGAGACTTCTGGATTCCTTTAGCATGGGACATTTCTAAATTAACCTTGTCATGTTGGTCCCCAGCACATAGCCTGTTAAGATGGTAGAAACTAGAGAGAAAATAAGAAGAGGGTGGTTGGAGGTGAAAATTGGGAAAAACCTGGGAAGCAGCCACTTAACATCAAGGAAGAAATCAGAAAAACTGAAATAATTGAGAAAGAAATTGGGGGATGGGGGAGAGGAGGAAAAAGAGGAGGAGGTGAAGAAAGATGGAGGGTGAAGAAGAAGAAGGAAGGGAGGAAGGAGCGAGAAAGAGAGGAATTGAAAAGGGGAAATGGAAAAGGGAGGGAGGGAAGAAGGAAGGAGAAAGTAGCCCCATGGTCATGAGGTACAAAATCTAAGCATGTGCTTCAATGATAGCTTGGTTCCATGCAAGGCAGATACCTGGTCAAAGACCTGAAGCATTTTTAATGGAAGCTACCAGAATCTCTACTGAGTTTCTTTCCCAGGAGGTGTCACAGGCTGGGCCATCTGCACAGCTTGCTTTCAAGAGCCCACTGGGGTCTTTATGCATCATCCAGGTGAGCTTGCAGGAAAGGCAGGTGACAGGCAAGTGGGGCTCTAAGGGGTGACTGTAGGTTTAAGAATTGTCTCTGCTTCCTCTGCATCACAGCTCAGTGTGGTTAGAGGTCTTCCTCTTTTGCCATATCATCACTTCTCAAGTTCATACTACACCACTGGCTTTCTTGTTCACACATTGGGTGGATAGTTCCCTGAAAGGATGGCAAAAGGCACCTCCCTCTGGTTCACTGCTTTTCAACCTTAGCTGTCCATCACAATCAGCTGGGGAAATTTTTTTTAAAGCCCATGCTTAGGCCCCACCCCGGGGTGTTCCATTTAATAGCTCAGGGTGGGGCTGCTCCCTGGTGACCCTGAGGCACCTAGGATTGTTGGTGCAGCCATTAAGCTGCCCTGATCTCACTGTGAGGTCTTCCAGGACATTCTCCATAGAATGGCTAACTCCATTCATGACTGCTAAGTCCCCTTCTTAGAGGAGGAGCATCCTGGTCCTATGCCTGGGATTTTGGACTCATTCCTAGTTTTAGGACCTGGAGCCCAGTCATTCCCAGACAGCAGTCATCCTTCACTCTGATGGGCTGGATTAACAAGACGGGAAAACATCCAGAAAGTCATGCAGATACAGACCTAGAAAGAAGGAGTCAGACGTTTTGATTGGTTTGGGTTCTTATAAACCAGCAGCTAGCTCCATGCAGGGCACATAGAAGGCTACAGTCACCCACTGGGTGAGTGGGTTATTATGTTTCCGTGGCAGAATCCAACTCAGGTCAAATGTGAAGTTGCTATAATTGAAGAGAACAGAAAAGATAGTGGCAGGAGAGTCCTGTGAGCCTCTCCTTTCCTGTGTTTCATTTCTTTTGTTTTGGACGGATTATTAATAGACGTAGGGCATTTAGAATGAAAGAATTTGGGGGTTGGTTAAGGAAAGCACCATTATCCTCTCTGTTCTGAGTGAGTCAAAGATGATCTAAACCAGATATCACATTTAGAAGCCCTGCTCAAGAATGAGTCATTCTAGATGTTTCCTTGGCCATCCTTGTAGCACTGTTGGTAGCTCTCTGGGCAGTGATGGTCATTTGGATCCTGGAGATGGAAACAGGATCACAGAGAGGCCTCCAGTTAGGTGAGATGTAGAGCCCAGCCTCTCAGGATGAAAAGTCTTCCAGTTTCCTCCTGCCCTATCTCATGGCCCTGGGGATCTCCCACCAACCAGCCATCCTGGTGTTCTCGCCAGACCCTTTTAGCCAATCTCATTCTGGCTTCTGCTGCCACCTTTCAAATGAAAATGCTTCAGCCAGGGCCACCAAGGTACACTGGAAAGTCTTTAATTCTCTGGATCACTCTCTCCTTTCTATACTGGTGACTCTCCATGCTTGAACTCGCATTCCCTCCCTTGGCTTCCAAGACTTCTTTGTGTTCCCAGCTACCTGTGTTCACGCATCACGCATCAGGTGGTCCTGCCCCACTCTCCTCTCTTCCTCACCCCAGACCCTGCCACTGCTGAGTGCCGCTGTCGTGTGGCATCCTCCATGGGCACCATGTCAATTCCTTTCTCTCTGCTCACTAACACCATTGCTGCTATACAAACGTCTCCTTGGGCACCTTCTGGCCCCCTGCTTCGTCCCCGCTCCTTAATCCATTTTTCTTCACAATTGCTGAAGTGATCTTTCTAAAAAGAGTCTCACATATCTCCTGTGCTCAGGGTCCCCCAAGGCTTCCCATCACAGCCTCCTCAACATGTCACCCAGACCCTGTCTTTCCTGACCCTGAGTGGCTCTTTCTAGGCTTACTCATCGTGGATACATTCCTCCTTGTGCTTTCAGTCTTCTTAGCCTCATCCCTGCCCCTCCTTCTTCCTGGGTTTACCTTCCTTCCTGCTTGTGGATCACCATCTCCTCCTGCTGGAGGATTCTCCAGCACCCCAGTGTGGACTCAGTGCCTGTTTGAGCTCTCATTATATCTGGTGCACTTTTTTCTCTCCCTCTATATCATATCAGACTGCACCCAAAGTATCCACGGACACCCTAAAAGGTAGGGGCTTGTCTCACTTCTCTCATGCGCTCTGCATTTAGGACAGTGCCTGAATACAGTAGGTACTCATTGCTTGTTTATTAAACCCAAGGGAATGGAGATGAAAAGGAAGCACAGAGCATTCCTTCTGTTGCTTCCTCTGCCTTTGGCCTCCCTTCTAAAGGCCCTGGGCTCAGGTCACCTAGCTGAGATGAAAAGGAAGCACAGAGCATTCCTTCTGTTGCTTCCTCTGCCTTTGGCCTCCCTTCTAAAGGCCCTGGGCTCAGGTCACCTAGCTGAGTTTGCTGTCAGTTTAAAGGGCCTTGAGACCTTCTCTTCCAAAGGGCTTTTGAGACTGTTTGGGGGATGTTGTAGACCTAGCCATCCTGAGACAGGTACCTGCTCCTGTGGCCTGAATTCTCCACACTTTTATGTTGCCATGCCAGTGTGGCTGGTTAGCTACCTCATGGAGAAACCCTGCTACATGTGGGGTTGGGCTGTCCTTCTTGCCCTCTGTCATCTGTGCTGTATCCCATGGACTCGCTCTCCTCCTTAGGACCCTGCCATTTGTAGATAGGTCAAACGCAGCTCAAGAGACAGCTTCAATTTTTTGTTTTGCTTTGAGACAGGGTCTTGCTGTGTTGCGTAGGTTGAACTCAAATTCAGATCCTCCTGCCTCTGCCTTCTGAGAGCTGAGAGTGCAGGTGTGCACCCCATACCCAGCTTGTTTCCTAGTGTTTTTTAGTGCTGGAATCAAACCCAGGTCCTTGAGTATGCTGGGCAAGTGAACTACCTCTGAGCTATTCTCCACCCCAGCCCTCAATTTTCCTTGAAGATGAGAATGAGCACTTTGGAGGGGTCAGCCAGGGAGCATGAATATCCTGGGCCTCAAGGCAGATCAAGTGTGTCCCAGCAGATCCAAACAGCCATACACCAGCCATAGTTTCCTACAACCCAGACGTGGTTGCTGCCCTCTGCACTTTCTGTAGGTAGCAACAGATCCTGGATCCCGTCCCACTGAAGTTCCAAGATCATTTTGCAGCTTTCTCAACAGAGTTCCTCAACTCCCAGGCAAGTGGGAGTGCTCTCTTCTGAGTTGCAGAGCACAATGTTATCAGGACGGTTAGTGTGACATAGTCCCACTTCTGCACTTTGTCAAACAAAGTTGCAGTGTCCAGGGTGATAGCAGCCCAAATAGCAGTGAGGTTAGATGTAGGTGGTCCCGGCATTGGGAGTTCTGGAACCACATAAATCCCACACGGCCTGTGGATTTATAATAGAGTCTCTCAGAGTTTCTCAAAGACCCTGTTTTCAGGAGGGAACAGACAGGCTTTGTGTAGCTCCAGGATGTGCTTCTGATGTCACTGGACCCCTCCCTGCAGAGGGATGCCAATGCTCATGTGGGCATGGGCTGTTGAACTTGAGCTTGGCTGCTGCACAGGGCCTGAGGTAGAGGCCTTTCTACTTCTCACACCACAGGGCAGCATTGGTGGGCCATGGAGGGGTGGCCGGACCTACCTATGTAGTGGTGCCATTTTATCTGTTTTGGGCTTCAGGCCTAACCTTGGGGTCCCAAATGGAGTAGATCTGGTCTTTCCTCTGCAACTTCACTTCACGCCTGCATTGTCTTCTTACTCCCCAATTTCCTCCTCATGTCACCTATCCCCTTCTTACAGTCCTTCTACAGTCTGACCAGCAGTGCCTGTAGCATCCGTTGCTTGCTGGATTTCGTGGTGCAACACTGCTAACGGCCGTGGTGGTCTGCACAGAGCCTAAAGCCTTTGCCAAACTCTGTCTCCAATAATGATGCAATTTCATTTCACCTCTGTTGGTTATGGATCATGCTACTGACCATCAATAGAATGGTTCAGAGGTTTCCACACACTTCCACTTTTGGAAAGGGATAGGTAGGCTTACCTTGAAGCCTGAGTACTCACTGGCCACCTCATGTGACCTAGAGATTAATGACAATGAAAGAAAGAGAAATGGAGGAGAAAATGTGCTGAGGACCCTCAGAGGCTGTGGTCATGGCCAAGATTGGAAGTGGAGGGCAGCTTGTTTTCCTTGTTCTCATCTTTCCCAGCTGCCTCCTCTCAGTCTTGAGCCTAGAAGCAGACTCTTTCCAGAGCTAGAAACATCCCTGCCCAGTGTTGTCAGTGAGAGGAGGAGGGGGTCTGTGGAGAGGCCTTTGGGGGTGTCACTGTGGACTGAAGATGTATGTAATGACTGCCCTTTTTACAGAGATGTACTTAGCATTGCTTGGTTTTTATGTTGGCCATTCGTGTCACGTTGAACCATAAAGAAGGAAGCTTACATGCTGGCCACATAATCAAGCTGTGAACTCTCCCCCACCCCCAGGTCTGTGCGTGATGAGCGGGGCTGCCATCTACACCGTCAGGCACTCTGGCTGGCATCTCAACACTGACTACTCCTACGGCTTCACCTACATCTTGGCCTGGGTGGCCTTCCCCTTGGCCCTTCTCAGCGGTGTCATTTACGTGATCTTACGGAAACGCGAATGAGGTGCCTTGGACCATCAGTCTTAGGCTCTGAGCGTACGCAGGGAGAGAGGAGAGAAACCAACAAAAAACAGCAACAACAAGAGCTAGCCAAAACACCCAAACTCAAGCCAAACCAAACTGAAAGCAGTTGGGGGGGGTCTCTGTTGATTGAAGATGTATATAATATCTATGGTTTATAAAACCTATTTATAACACTTTTTACATACATGTACATAGTATTGTTTGCTTTTTATGTTGACCATCAGCCTCGGGTTGAACCGTAAAGAAGTAGCTAAGGAACTTTTACAACCTAACCGTATAATCGGGCTCGGTATTTTTGTTTTGTTTTTCAATCTTTTGTTTTGCCCAGAAATAAAATAACTCCATCCAGCCCCTTCCCATTCGTCTGAAAAAAGATACCTCCCTCCCACTCCACCTCATAGTGAAACCTAAGTGTGGGGACAGACCCCAAGTGGTCAAAAGCCTGACATGGAAACATTCACTGCCTGACTCTCCGAGCGGAGCCTTAAGCACGCACGGACAAAACACCCTGACTGGAGCCCTCAGCAAAAACATGGCTGTGGCTTTAGAACACATGCCCTTGGAGGTGGAGTATCTGGGTCACACGTCGAAATGAGAAATCAGAAACAACAAATCTGAAATGGTGCTATGGATTTACCATTCCTTATGATCACTAATCATCTAAACGACTCACTGGAAATTCAATTAACAATTTTATGACCTAAAGTAGAATGGAGACCTGCATAATTCTGTGTCATATAAATGGTTTATAACTGCTTTTGTACCTAGCTAGGCTGCTATTGTTACTGTAATGAATTAATCTTAAAGCCTTCATCACTCCGTATTTTTCTTGCGGTCAAAGCATCAGGACAAGTGTCTAGACCCTTGGGACTGTGAGTTCCCAGGCTTGGCTGGGTCTAGAGTGTTCTGTGCCTCCAAGGACTGTCTGGCGATGATTTGTATTGGCCACCAACTGTAGATGTATATACGGTGCCCTTCTGATGCTAAGACTCCTGAGTTTATTTTTGCTTTGCTTTTTCTGATTTCATACCATCTGTGTGGACTAAGATGCATTAAAATAAACATCAGAGTAACTCACTGACGTCTCTTGGGTTTTCGTGGGACCTGGGTGAGGGTACAAGGTACATGTTCAGGTAAGCTGAAGAGCTCTGATGGAAAGCAAGGTAGAGCTGGGGATTTGGGTTGCAGCATGGCACTAGGGGATCAAGCTCATAGCTGCCTTACAGGTACGGTGCCTGCAGATGCGTGTGTGAAACACCTGCTGATTGGACAGAGCTGGAACTCATAGCTGGAAGGGAGGCTGTAAATGGTCTGGAGGGAACCCAAGGGTTCTCTTTACCTCCATCCTCAGTCTGTTGCTTGCTTCTCTGATGATGCGTATGGAGAACACAGAAGCATGGCCTGAGTTGTTCTGATATATAGGGGATATACATGAGAAGCGTAGCCTTTGAGGTATGATATGGTGAAAAGTCTGAATGATGGCGGTGTGTGGTCAGGCTTCCAGATAAAACACAAGTCAGCACCAGCCGAACTCGTAGCACCATCCTGAGATAGAGGAAAGACCACCTGTGTCATCCAGCTCCAGGTTTCTGGGCTGCATGTCCTCATAACTCTTACTCACCAGCCTTGTCGTGTGCATCTGATGAGCTTGTGGTGCACGCGATAATCTTCAGTATTTATTGAGCCCTGTATTGAATGGGGCACCAGAGATTAAGAAAGAATTCTAACAAAAGTCTCAACAAGTCACATTTCAGTGAGAGAGTCAAGGAAAGCAAAAGACTATTCTAATAGAATTAAGAAAACAGAAGTTAGGCAAGCCTGGGTTTGAGCCTGTCCTCTGCCACTTCCCAGATGTAGGGGTTCTATTTCCATATCCATAAAATGAGTATTCCAAGTACAAGGTTATGGGATTGTAGGGATTAAAGCAGGTGATATGGGGGAAAGCATGTGACTGGAACTTAGAAATCCCCATATGGGAGTGATAGAGGAGCATGCAAAGGCATGGAAGAAGGAAATACTGACTGTTATCCAGGACTTTCAGCCCTGACGGCACGTTGGAACCTCCCATGCAGGGCCCACCTCACTTGTTTGGTATTCCACATCCATGATGATCCCAGTGGGCAACCAGGGATGAAAACTCAGAACTAGTCCAGGGCTCTTCAGACTTGAGCACACTCCCAAGTCATCCAGAAACCTGGATGATGCAGATTCTGACTCTGTAGACCTGAGATTCTGCATTTCCAATGAGTTCCCAGGGGATGCAGATGCCGCTGCTCCCCGGGCAACTGGAGTGCAGTCCCTCAGGCACCAGATGCTCTTCTGCCTGGACATCCATGACAGAGAGCTCCTCCCACACTCAGAGGCACACAGGACCATGAGATACATGTGACACTAAGTGATGAGGAAATTGAATTTTGCTTCATAAGTCTATGCTTTGAAAACATACACTTGCATTCCATAAACTTGCTTTTATGACATTTCACTTAAAATTAGTACAGACAAGAACAAGGAACACTAAAAGTGGCCTCCAAATCTCTGTTGGCATTTTAAAGAAAAAGTGATATAGGGGCTGGGGCGTGGCTCAGTGGTAGGGTGCCAGCTCACCATGCACAAGGTCCTGGTTGTTTGGGGGAGAGGGAGAAGAAGAAGAAGAGGAGGAGGAGGAGGAGGAAAGAGAGAAAAGGAGAGGGAGGGTGTGGAGAGGAAAAAGAGGGAAAAAAAGTAATATATACCTAGGATTATAGCACCCTAACCATATCTAGAGAAACTAGTAGGATCAATAAAATTTGAAATCCTCTTTCTCACCACATAGTCTCTTACCACAAGTAACCTTAACACATAGATTCTTATGATTTCTTCCAGAAAAAAAACCAATATCCAATACATATACATCCACTTAAGTATTTTTAAAATTTACACAGAAGGGATCATACAGCTCTGTTCTCCATCTTGTTTTCTGATAGAAACAGAAGACCATTCTATAACAGCATGCACTGCATTCCTTTTCATGAGCTAGTTCCACCTTATTCTTTAAATTTCTGTACAGAATTCGACTGTGTGGCTGCACACACTTTTATCTACCAGCTCCCCATCAAAAGGCTTTTGTTGTGTCCTGCTTTTTACTATTACCCAACATTTTTCAATGGGGATATCCTTATACATGAATATTGCTGAATTTTTGAGGTCTGTCCGATTGTTAAATTCATGTAAGGATGTTTTTAAGAAAAAGGAAATTTATATTTTAAAAAATTTAGTAGATTTTTTAAGTTTAGTCTCCAGAATAATTGCACTAGCTCTAGTTGAAATTTGAAATGTATTTTCTTCACATAAACCACGGGCCCAGCAAGAGCAAAAGAGCTTTAAACAGTGGGTGGGGTGTAGCACAGTGGCAGAGTGCTTGCCTAGCGTGCACAAGGCCCTGGGTTCGAACCCTAGCACCAAAAAGAAAAGACAAAAAAAGAAAAAGGAGTGTTAAAAACACCTGAGTAGAAACAGCTTATGTGTTACCAATGCCCTTGTACATGATCTTTTCCAATCTCCCTTCCTGGAGTCCTAGAGAACCTATCTGCTGTAGTCTATTATAAGTATGACCCAGTGTCTAATACACAGCATACTGTGTTAGGGTGGATCTCAAAAAGGGACTGGACAGTGAGGTACTTCACACCCACATTTCGAGCATTTAATGCCATCATGTATTATGTGGCTTTGTCTTAGTCTGTTTTCAGTTGCTATAATAAATAACTGGAGTCTAGGTGTTACCAGAAAGGTTAGTGCTGCCCTAGGATGAAGCTTACAGGGCTGGATCTTTGTCTTGCTAAATTAAAGATATTATCTGTGTGAAATCCCCAGCTCCAGTCCATCTGATGCATAGGGTACAGCTTACTCTTTTTATGGTTCAGTCTTTAGCACTTAAAACTTTTCAGTGAATAGGATGAAGTGAAGGGAATGAAAATATCCCAGGGAAAGTACTAAGACACTTGACAAAAGATAGGGAGTACAAAATAAATGTAGGGCATTTTAGAATTCATAACTGCTTTCCTTCAAAAAAGAAGATGCTAAGTAGAATTCCATCTCATGGTTTCGACAAAGTTGGTTTGCTGTACAAACCATTGCTGCCCATTTGTTGACAAATGATTAAGAGAACATGTTCACATCATTCTCTCAGAATGAAATTTGTAGCTCTGGAGGATGTACCAAGTGCATTTTTTCTGTTCTCCCTGGTATAGTAATAGACCATAGAAAATCACCCAAAAATTGTTGAAGCTAAAGGACTTTTTCAAATTTGGTTTATAAGCTGGAAAATATGAACAACCAGTAACACCTCTTCACAGAGAAAGTGAAGTCCCTGGGATCAGTTTTATGGTCAAGACGTTAACCTCTGTGGTTATTTGTGCCACTTACTCCTGAGTAAAGAAAGGAGTAAGCTTTAGGTGAGTGATGGATTTAAAAGCATCCTGTGGTAGCCATGGCCTCTGCTACTTTGATCTTAACAGAGACCGGACACCTGTGGAGTTTGGTTAATGTTTTTGTTTTTCTGTGACAGACCCTGGAATTTATCCCTCTTACAGCCACTGCTTATGTCTATTTGTTACCTATCATTAAGTGCTTTATAAAGACAACAGTTTCTAATGTTTGACTCATAGTTTTGGAGGCTGAAAGTCCAATACTGGGTGATCTCCATTGGTTTGACCTCTAGTGAGGGCCCCTTGACTGCATTGTTGTTGCCAGTGTACAATGTCATGGCCGGTGTCAAGGGTCCTTACCTTCACAGGCCAGAGAACTGGCCCATGAGGCAGCTGACTGACTTGTGAGCCAAGGCTGGTACACAAAGTAGGATTTATTAGGGAGAAAGGAAAGGCTACAGCTAGAGCAGTGCAGCAGAGCCCGGAAACCGGTGGCTCCCTGCTCAGGTGAAGGCTGGGGCTTTTTATGGATGCTTTAACTCTGGGTTTGGGTAAGGGTGAGGTGGATTCTTTCCATTGGCCATGGGTTCACAGGCTGTCTTAGATGAGCTGGTCTGTTTGCCCCTTATTGGGGAGAACAACCTTGAGAACATTCTGTTTATCAGCCTTGTGGCAGACTTATGAGACCCTATATCTCCTCCTCAGGGTGCAGGAATGCAGATTTATGAGCTCCTCAGGGTGCAGGGCTCACAGTGCTCTCCATGGGGAATGGGATACTTACTCATCTGTCCTTTAGCTTCCCAGACCCAAAAACATCACATGGTGAAAAGGCAGAAAGGAAAATGGCAGGGTGCAGAAGGGCCCAGGTTTGTGGGAAACCTTGCTTTGTAACAATCTGCTGTTTTGAGAGCTAACTCACCCTTTAACACCAGCATTAATCCTTCTGTGGGTGGCACCCCCATGACAATAATCACCTCAAACTAGGCCCTACTAAAGGTTATGCTACCTCTTAAAAGTGCCATACTAGGGACATGGTTTCCAGCTCATGAACCTTTGGGGGACACACTCAAACTGTATGAAAATCACAGCAGGCTCTCTAATCTTCTTAGCCATTTACCAAGCTACAGAGTCTGTGCTCGGTGTTTGTTCTGAGCAAGATCTGGCCCTAGCATGACCATCCATGGCTACTCTCTCCTTCACCAGTATTGGGTAAAGTTTGGAGAGGAAAGAGGCCAACAAATGACTTCTGGCATGGCAGCCTGAGGGGCACAACACACCACTCCCCAGTAAAACTGGCGAAAACTTAGAGACAATTTGAAGCCTTGAAAATGGTCACAAATGCAAACACAAATGTAGAAACAATTATGCAGCAATGCTCTTGAAATTTTGTTAAGAAAGGTGAGAGTCTGTGCTATGTAAACCAAGATTGCATCTCCTTCCTGCTTCCCAGTTCAGTGAGGCTGAGACTCCATTCAACTGCTGGAGCCAAACAGAGACCTCCCTTCTTGCCCCAGCTCCTAGCCAGATCGCCTTCTTCCAAGGGGGAGCTGGACATTAGCATTTCTCAGCCTTCCCCCATCTACTTATTGCTGAGGCTGAGCCCCAGGTGAGTGCAGTTGAGAGGTGGGGCTTCTTTTTCCCACCCACGCCTCACCCAAGCT